AGGTCGGTCAGTATGGGAACTTAGAGTGCAAATGCCTGGGAGAACGGAACCGCTCAGATCTCGCATAATACACGGAATCTAGTGGTCTCACTCAAATATAAGGTAGGAAATATATTCATCTAGTGAACGTAAGGGTTTGAAAGGTAACTAACGCACATGTGTAGAGAAAATGGTGCATCGGCCAGTCTGGCCGGCATTTCGCACTCATAGTGCAAGTGGGGCCAGGGAGAACGGAAACGCTCGTATCTCAAAAAGTAGAGGGAAATGTATTCAACGCACATGTATAGATAAAATGGTGCATTGGTCAGGTCAGTCAGTATCGGAACTTCAAATGCAAATGCCAGGGAGAACGGAAGCGCTCTGATCTCGCATAGTACACGGAATCAAGTGGTCTCACTCAAATAGAAAGTAGGAAATATATTCATCTAGTGAACGTAAGGGTTTGAAAAGTAACTAACGCATATGTGTAGAGAAAATTGTGCATCGGCCAGTCTGGCCGGCATTTCGCACTTATAGTGCAAGTAGGGCCAAGGAGAACGGAAACACTCATTTCTCAAAAAGTAAAGGGAATCTAGCGGTCTCACTCGATCAGAAGGTGGGAGATATATAAATCTAGTGAGCTAATAAGGTTCGGAAGGAATCTAATGCATATGTATATGGAAAGTGGTGCCTAGAAAGGTCGGTCAGTATGGGAACTTAGAGTGCAAATGCCTGGGAGAACGGAACCGCTCAAATCTCGCACAATACACGGAATCTAGTGGTCTCACTCAAATATAAGGTAGGACATATATTCATCTAGTGAACGTAAGGGTTTGAAAGGTAAATAACGCACATGTGTAGAGAAAATGGTGCATCGGCCAGTCTGGCCGGGATTTCGCACTCATAGAACAGGTGGGGCCAGGGAGAACAGAAACGCTCGTTTCTCAAAAAGTAGAGGGAATCTAACGGTCTGACTCGATCAGAAGGTGGGAAATATATAAATCTAGTCTGCTAAAAAGGTTTGAAATGTATTCAACGCACATGTATAGAGAAAATGGTTCATTGGCCAGGTCGGTCAGTATCGGAACTTAAAATGCAAATGCCAGGGAGAACGGAAGCGCTCAGATCTCGCATAGTACACGGAATCAAGTGGTCTCACTCAAGTAGAAAGTAGGAAATATATTCATCTAGTGAACGAAAAGGTTTGAAAGGTAACTAACGCACATGTGGAGAGAAAATTGTGCATCGGCCAGTCTGGCCGGCATTTCGCACTTATAGTGCAAGTAGGGCCAAGGAGAACGGAAACGCTCATTTCTCGAAAAGTAAACGGAATCTAGCGGTCTCACTCGATCAGAAGGTGGGAAATATATAAATCTAGTGAGCTAATAAGGTTCGGAAGGAATCTAAGGCATATGTATATGGAAAATGGTGCATTGGCCAGGTCGGTCAGTATGGGAACTTAGAGTGCAAATGCCAGGGAGAACGGAAGCGCTCAGATCTCGCATAGTACACGGAATCTAGTGGTCTCACTCAAATAGAAGGTAGGAAATAAATTCATCTAGTGAACGTAAGGGTTTGAAAGGTAACTAACGCACATGTGTATAGAAAATGGTGCATCGGCCAGTCTGGTCGGCATTTCGCACTTATAGTGCAAGTAGGGCCAAGGAAAACAAAAACACTCATTTCTCAAAAAGTAAAGGGAATCTAGCGGTCTGACTTGATCAGAAGGTGGGAAATATATAAATCTAGTGAGCTAATAAGGTTCGGAAGGAATCTAATGCATATGTATATGGAAAGTGGTGCATTGGCCAGGTCGGTCTGTGAGAATAAACGAACAAGAATGAATGAACTAGCAGTGAAATGAGTACAAGTAGGAAACCCTAGAATTGTGTACCCCCTATAGGCTAACCCACTGTAGCCTACACAAGCATAACATATATAATGTTTGACACACCCCCATAGGCAAAGTGGGGGAGAACAAGGGGTCACAAGACCAGTCAAGCAAAGCAAAGCAAGCTCAGGGTGGATCACAAAGTCACCACACAGTCCGAGCACAAGAGCAGGGCCAGAGGCCAGTTCACATGCAGGAAGACAGACATATATATAAAACTAGACAAGCAAGAGCAGGTATATATATATGTCACAGTACAAGTGAAGTCAAGAGGAGAGCAAGTGAGGCAAGACAGGCACAAGACCCAGCTGGGTGCAAAAGCGCTGATGGTCACAAGGCGCGAGTGCCTTGGTGAACACATCAGCAGTGTTGGCCTCAGAGGCCACGTACGCAAGTCGCAACTGACCACGCTGCTGCAGCTCACGAGCAAGGAAGTAGCGGAGAGCAATGTGCTTCGTTCTGTGCTCCAAGCGCTGCTCTCGACACAAGGCCAGCATGGCCTTGTTGTCTACGTACAGCACTGGAGGAGAACGAGGCGGCTCTCCAAGGTCAGTCAGCAGGTAGGTGAGCCAGCGAAGCTCCTGTGCAGCCATGGCCCTGGCGTAGATCTCAGCCTCACAACTGGAGCCGAGAACAAAAGACGAGCGGGTAGCCGGCCACGAAACAAAGCCAGAACCAAGGCTGAAGGTGTAACCCTGTGACGACCGCTGCGTAGCCTGGTCGTCAGCCCAAGAAGCGTCTGCGTGCCCAGTAAGGACCACTGGACTCTGCCCTCCAAGCACAAGCCCCATGCCCGACGTACTGCACAAGTAGCGCAACACCCTCTTCGCTGCAGCCATGTGCTCTGGTCTGTGTCTCCGAGGAGCAACATAGCGTGCGAGAATGCTAAGAGGGTATGCAAGGTCAGGTCGAGTGCAGGTCATCAGGTACATGAGGCAGCCAACAAGCTCTGGGTACGGGCCAGTCGACTCTACGGACTCATCCTAAGGCAGAGCTGAGAGCGAGTGGCGAGTAGGCAGAGGAGTGGCCTGAGGCGAGGAGTACGTGAAGCCGAAGCGTTGAAGGACCTGCTGCACCATGTGTGACTGAGTCAGGGTAATGGTGCGGCATGCTCTGTCCTGGGTGATCTGCAAGCCAAGGTAGCTGCGCAGTTCACCCAGGTCTGTGCACGTGTGTCTCTTCTGCAGCTCGGACTTCACGTGGGCGAGTCCAGCAGTGTTAGCTGTGGCAAAGACCAAGTCTTCGACGTACACGAGGATGTAGAACTGCGGCAGGGAAGTGTCGGTGCGAAGAAACAGCGACGGGTCAGCAGTAGAAGGAGCAAACCCAAGAGCCGCAAGCGTAGTCCTCAGTGTGTCGTGCCACTCACGCGGTGCCTGGCGGAGACCGTAGACTGGCCGTCGGAGGCTCCACTGGGTGCCAGGAGGGAAAGTCCCAGTGAAGCCAGGCGGACGGCGCAGCCAGATCTCCTCGTGCAGGCTACCCTGCAGGAACGCAGTGCTGAAGTCGAGAGAGTGAAGCTCGTAGTCGCGCTGAGCGGCTATGTGCAGCAGCACCCGAAGAGTAGTCATCTTCGGGGTGGGAGAGAAGGTCTGAAAGTAGTCAACTCCCTGCCGTTGACTGAAGCCACGAGCAACGTACCGTGCCTTGAAGACAGGTGGAGAGCCCGGCGGCCGCTTCACCCTGAAGATCCACATGCCACTGACGATGTTCGCCCCAGGAGGGGGAACCGCGTCAACGTAGGTGCCTGTGGACTTCCAGGAAGCCATCTCTGCATCCATAGCTGCCTGCCACTGAGAGGAGTAGGGACCCTCTACGGCCTCCGCGTAAGAACGCGGAGTCGGGATGTCTAGTGCACCCGGGTCTCCCCCAGGGGCAAGCAGTACAGACGCGAGATGAGGTGAAGCAGCCGCTAGACACTGTAACTCCTCCTGCCTGTCCTCTAGGACGTCCGTGCCAAGAGCACACTCACCCCCGACGGACGGAGGACAGACAGATGCAGACTCAGCCACAAGACTAGCAGCGTAGTCGAGACGATAGCGAGCAGCAAAGTCGACGAGCTCAGCGACTAGAGCAGACGCAGCAGTGGACTCAAAAGAGGGGTCAGTGACGACAGTAGCAAGCAGACGCGTGACAGTAGGACTGGCAGCACGAAGAGAGTCCGACTCAGGGTCGGCAAGCGCAGGAAGAGAGGACTCAGGAGGAGTAGGCAAAGGGGCACGCAGGGGAGCAGTGGACGGACGCAAAGACATCCGGTGCGTGCCAGGGACAGGAGGAGGACGCTGACGCGAACTGCGACCACTAGCGCGAGCAGCACGAACAGGCGACGCGGGACGAGACGCAGGCTCACGACGCTCAGCAAGACCTCCAATAGGACCAGTGTAAGGAGAGGGAGCAGGCAGTGGAGAGGAAGGCTCCAGCAGGGACTGCGACTGGACAGGCGGTGGACCCTCTACTGGAGGAGAAAGACCAAGAACCTGCTGCAGGAGCGGAACGAAGTACGGCCGAGGCCGCGCGGCAGCTCCAGACTCAGCAGGGACAGCACCAGCACCCTCAGCGACAGCACCAGCGCCACCCACACCTCCAGCGGCAGGACCAACAGTGGTAGGCTCAGCACCAACGCCCTCAGCAGCTCCAGCTCCAGGAGGACCCGCAGGTCCAGCAGCTCCGGGACCGGCAGCACCCGCACCCTCGACGGTCGAAGAAGGTCCAGCTCCAGCTCCAGCAGCACCTCCAGACTCAGCAGCACGCCTCCAGCGGCGAGCGAACCACTCGCGCAGCTCCTGTGGAGAGAGGGGCTCCCGGCGAGACGCAGCAGCAGGAGAAACCCCAGGCTCAGCAGCTCCAGACGCAGCACCCCCAGGCTCAGCAGCTCCCAGCTCAGCACTCCCAGGCTCAGCAGCTCCCGACCCAGCACCCCCAGACCCAGCACCTCCAGGCACAGCACCCCCCGGCTCAGCACCCCCAAGCTCCGCACCCTCAGCAGCAGCACCCCCAGGCCCAGCACCCCCAGCAGTAGCACCCCCAGGCTCAGCACCCCCGCGCACAGCACCCCTAGATTCAGCACCCCCAGGCTCAGCACCCGCAGCAGCACCAGAGTCACCAGTAACCTCGACCGGGTCAACGGCATCTACCTGGGACACACCTGAGGGGGCAGGAACCTGAGGGGGGAGGGGGTCTACCGGGGGGGGAACCGGCACAAGGAAGTCCGGGGGAGGGGGGAGGGAAGGAGTGCGGTAGGGGAAGAGACGGTAGAAGGGGACTGACTCGTCGAACGTGACGTCCTGGGAGGACAGAACACGAAGAGAGGAGGGGTGGTAAAACTGCCACCCTGGGGCGTCAGTGGGGAAGCCAAGGAAGACACAGGGAGCAGCACGAGGGGACAGCTTGTCCGCAGACAAGTCGCGGACAAACGCCCGAGATCCCCAGACACGGAACACAGACGCATCGCCAACCTTCCCCGTCCACAGCAAGGCTGGGGACATCGCAGGCCGAGAGACCCGGGGGTGAAGGTTGAGCTGATGCGCCGCGTACCTCACCGCAAACGGCCTCAGAAAATGGGGGGCAGCCGCATGCATCATGGACGTACGAGCGACATCCATGACCATGCCAATGCGGCGCTCAGCAATCCCATTTTGCTGTGGTGAGTCCGGAAGCGTGAAGGTCTGGCGGATCCCCCGTGCACGACAGTAGTCTCGCAGAAGGCGAGAAGAGAACTCTTCGCCTCTGTCCGAGTGCAGACGTAGAACAGGAAAGTCCGAGCGGAAGCTTTTCCTGAGCTGGAGACGAGCCTCGCGGATCCAGTCGATCAGCACCTCAGTGACCGCACCCTTGCTGCGCAAGGGGAGGACTGTGGTGTAACGCGAGTAGTCGTCAACCACCAACAGAAAGTAGCGCTCGTGACCCTGCCCACGGACGGGGGCTGGGCCCCACACATCCATGTGAAGCGTCTGCAGGGGAGCCTCTGTCGGGGGGAAGTGGGAGGAGTGAGGAGTAGCCCGGAGGCGACCCTCGACACAGGGGACACAGGAAGGTCCTGGCCCGGAGGGGAGAGGAGGGAGAGACTGGGGAAGACCAGAGACAAGGACACGGGAAGCCATGCTCCGAAGACGGGGCAAGGAGGGGTGGCCAAGACGGTGGTGCCACAGGAGAGTCTCGTGAGACAGGAGGCGACAAGAACAGGGGGCAGACTCAGGACCTGACCGGGACGCAGCAGCAAGCACCTGACCTGACGCAGCTACCTGACCGGACGCAGGGACAGGAGGAGACGAAGTGGTCAGGGTGTAGAGACTCGACCCCGGCCGACGTGAGAAGGTGGCCAGGTGTCGGCCTGTGCGTGCGTCCGTGCAGTGGGTCACCCGCTGACTCGCAGGAGTGAACTGGTGAACCCCCGCATCCTGCAGGGCTGCACCACTCACCAAGCTCGTAGAGAACGAGGGAAGGTACAGACCAGACAGGGTGCCCGAAGGGGCAGCCGGACACGGGAGGACAGTGGAGAAGTGAGACAGGACAGGACCCCCAGAGGGGTCAGCAAGGGAGACTGCAACCGGCCGGCCGAGCGGCGTAAGGGTAGTGCGGTCTCGAAAGAAGGAGCGAGAAGCCCCGGAGTCGAGTGTGAAAGTGAGGGAGGACGAGGACGACGCAGTACCTGAGAGCGCAGTCTCACCAGTACCTGAGAGCGCAGACGCACTGGCACCTAGAGCAGCAGCCTCACAAGCACCTAGCGCAGCAGTACCAATGCCCGGGTCGGGCTGGTAACACCGGTAACCCTCATTCTCCTCACTATAAGTCACAGCATACATAGCAGCAAGGATAGCATCAAAATCAAGATCAAAGATCGCTACACCAGCCCTAAGAAGCTCATCCCAGCGAGGGATCTCACTAGCCCCAGGGAACTGCTGACGCCAAGCGTCCGTCAGGCGGCCAAAGCAGCGCTGGGTGGCGTGGGCACCCCCACACTGCTCACCCGCGCGGTCGCCGGAACGAAGAACGTAGGTGCAGGGACCAGTACCCCCACCCCTCTGACGCCTAGCGTACCACTCACGAAGCTGCTGAGGGGGAGGGATGTCCCGCGAGCGCTGCTGCTGCTGCCGCTGCGAGCGCTGGCCACCACCACCGCCGCTACGCTGCTGGGTACCACCCCGACCAGCTCCACCTCCTCCACCACCACCGCCTCCTCCGCTGCCGCCTCCACCGCCTCCACCTCCGCCGCCTCCACCTCCGCCGCTGCCTCCACCACCACCGCTACCACCACCACCACCGTCTTTGCCGCTGCTGCCACCACCACCACCACCCCCGCCACTAGTCCCGCCGCCACCCCCACTCCCTCCGCCGCCACCGCCGCCACCGCCACCGCCCCCTCCAGCTCCACCCGCGCCCTTGCCCCCCTTGCCCTTGCTGGAGCGACGTCTCCCACTAGGGGCAGACGCCGCGCCGACCGACTCAAGACCAAGCAGGTCGGCAGCAGCAGCAGAGGCAACAGAGGGCAGCAAGGGGGAAGGAGAGCACCCCTCAAAGATGGGGGTGCGAGGGTCACCACGAGAAGCACCTACAGCGACTATGCTCTTCTCCGCTGCGAGGAGGGCCTTCTCGAGGAGGTCGACGGTGAGGGTGGTGGGACAGACTGCGAGAAAGTGGTCCCTGACGACGCGAAGGGAGTCAGGGAGGCGCGCGACTACGTAGTAGAGAGCGATGTACATGGGGGGTGGGTTCTTAGCGCAGAACTCAGCAGGAAGGGCGGCGCGGTAGCGAGTGTCACTAGTGCGGAGGTGCGTAATGAGGTCAGCGACAGTGGGAAAGGCAGAGAGGTCAGGAAAGAGGTAGGGAAGCATGAGACGGCTCAGTGCAGCAGTGGCAGGGGAGGAGTAGCGCGCAACTACAGCGTCGTACAAGGTCTGAGCACTCTTGTACTGACTAAAGTGCGCACGCTCAGAGGTAGGGAGGTGGCGACGCACAGCAAGACGTGCAGCAGCATCGCGGGTGGCCCACTGAGAGCGGACAGTGAGATCAGCATCAGCAGCAGGAGCAGGAGAGGCGCCAGAGGTGAGGTCAAAGAGAGAAAGGCCATCAGCCCTGTCGCACTGTAAGAACAGCTGCAGGTCGTCTAACCAGACCTCGAAATCAATGGCGCGACCCTCAGCGTCAAAAGCTAGGACACTAGGGGTAGCCATGGCGACGACAACAAAGCAGAGCAAGCAGTAGGGAAAGAGCTCGCAGTGACAGTGGGACTGTGCTCACTAGGCAGGGCACGTCGTGCAGCTCTGCAGAAAGGCGGCTCGGTGACCGGGCGGCTCGGGTGCACAGCGGCTCGGCTCCCGGGCGGCTCGGCGGCTGGGCGGCTCGGGCGCAGGGCGGCTCGGCTCCCGGGCGGCTCGGCGGCAGGGCGGCTCGGGTGCAGGGCGGCTCGGCTCCCGAGCGGCTCGGCGGCAGGGCGGCTCGGGTGCAGGGCGGCTCGGGTCCCGGGCGGCTCGGCGACAGGGCGGCTCGGGCGTTGGGCGGCTCGGCTCCCGGGCGGTTCGACTGCACTGCTGCCCGACTGCTGCAGGTGTGGCGGCGGGGCCGAGTTAGAGAGCCGGGGCGGGGACGCGTGAGGGCCGGCGGCGGGGCCGCGTGAGAGCCGGGGCGGGGCCGCTTCAGAGCCGGGGCGGGGCCGCTTCAGAGCCGGCGGCGGGGCCGCAAAAGAGCCGGCGGCGGGGCCGCTTGAGAGCCGGGGCAGGGGCCGCGTCAGGGCCGGCGACATGGCCGTAAGAGAGCCGGCGGCGGGGCCTGGAGAGGGCCGACGGCGGGGCCACGTGAGAGCCGGGGCGGGGCCGCAAGAGAGCCGGCGGCAGGGCCGCGTGAGAGCCGGGGCAGGGGCCGCGTAAGAGCCGGGACGGGGCCACGGAAGAGCCAGGGCGGGGCCGCGACAGAGCCGTCAGCGGGGCCGCGTGAAAGCCGGGGCGGGGCCGCGGGAGAGTCGGCGGCGGGGCCGTAGGAGAGCCGGCGGTGGGGCCGCGTAGGAGCCGGGGCGGGGCCGCGCTAGAGTAGGCGGCGGGGCCGCGTAAGAGCCTGGGCGGGGCCGCGACAGAGCCGTCGGCGGGGCCGCGTGAAGGCCGGGGCGGGGCCGCGTAGGAGCCGGGGCGGGGCCGCGTGAGAGCAGGCAGCGGGGCCGCGTAAAGGCCGGGGCGGGGCCGCGACTGAGTCGGCGGCGGGGCCGCGTGAGAGCCTGCGACGGGGCCGCGTAAGGGAGGGCGGTGGGGCCGCGTCAGTGGAGGCGGCTGAGCCGCAGGGGAAAAGGCGACCCGAGGGGTCGCTAAAAAAAAATCGCGCCTCGGGGCGCGCTTCGGTGGGCCCAAAAAAACGGTCCTTAGAAGGACCCGCTCTATACCATGTGAGAATAAACGAACAGGAATGAATGAACTAGCAGTGAAATGAGTACAAGTAGGAAACCCTAGAATTGTGTACCCCCTATAGGCTAACCCACTATAGCCTACACAAGCATAACATATATAATGTTTGACACGGTCAGTATGGGAACTTAGAGTGCAAATGCCTGGGAGAACGGTGTGAAAATGAGTAAGCAGGAATGAGAATGACTCAGGGAAGATTGGGTACAAATACAACCCTAGAAACCCTGTACCCCATATGTGCTACCCCACTATAGCCTACAGCAACTATGTCATATAAATCTGACACACCCCCATAGGCAAAGTGGGGGAGAACAAGGGGTCACAAGACCAGTCAAGCAAAGTAAAGCACGCTCAGGGTGGATCACAAAGTCACCACACAGTCCAAGCACAAGAGTAGGGCCAGAGGCCAGTTCACATGCAGGAGTACAGGCATATATATAAAACTAGACAAACAAGAGCAGGCATATATATATGTCACAGTACAAGTGAAGTCAAGAGGAGAGCAAGTGAGGCAAGACAGGCACAAGACCCAGCTGGGTGCAAAAGCGCTGATGGTCACAAGGCGCGAGTGCCTTGGTGAACACATCAGCAGTGTTGGCCTCAGAGGCCACGTACGCAAGTCGCAACTGACCACGCTGCTGCAGCTCACGAGCAAGGAAGTAGCAGAGAGCAATGTGCTTCATTCTGTGCTCCAAGCGCTGCTCTCGACACAAGGCCAGCATAGCCTTGTTGTCTACGTACAGCACTGGAGGAGAACGAGGCGGCTCTCCAAGGTCAGTCAGCAGGTAGGTGAGCCAGCGAAGCTCCTGTGCAGCCATGGCCCCGGCGTAGATCTCAGCCTCACAACTGGAGCCGAGAACCGAAGACGAGCGAGTAGACCGCCACGAGACAGAGCCGGAACCAAGGCTGAAGGTGTAACCCTGTGACGACCGCTGCGTAGCCTGGTCGTCAGCCCAAGAAGCGTCCGCGTGGCCGGTAAGGACCACTGGACTCCGCCCTCCAAGCACTAGCCCCATGCCCGACGTACTGCACAGGTAGCGCAATACCCTCTTCGCTGCAGCCATGTGCTCCGGTCTGTGTCTCCCAGGAGCAACATAGCGTGCAAGAATGCTCAGAGGGTATGCAGGGTCAGGTCGTGTGCAGGTCATCAGGTACATGAGGCAGCCAACAAGCTCTGCATACGGACCACTCGACTCTACGGACTCATCCGAAGGCAGAGCTGAGAGTGAGTGGCGAGTAGGCAGAGGAGTGGCCTGAGGCGAGGAGTACGTGAAGCCGAAGCGCTGAAGGACCTGCTGCACCATGTGTGACTGAGTCAAGGTAATGGTGCGGCGTGCTCTGTCCCGAGTGATCTGCAAGCCAAGGTAGCTGCGCAGTTCACCCAGGTCTGTGCACGTGTGCCTCTTCAGCAGCTCGGACTTCACGTAGGCGAGTCCAGCAGTGTCCGCTGTGGCAAAGACCAAGTCGTCGACGTACACGAGGATGTAGAACGGCGGCAGGGAAGTGTCGGTGCGAAGAAACAGCGACGGGTCAGCAGTAGAAGGAGCAAACCCAAGGGCCGCAAGCGTAGTCCTCAGTGTGTCGTGCCACTCACGCGGTGCCTGGCGGAGACCGTAGACTGGCCGTCGGAGGCTCCACTGGGTGCCAGGAGGGAAAGTCCCAGTGAAGCCAGGTGGACGGCGAAGCCAGATCTCCTCGTGCAGGCTACCCTGCAAGAACGCAGTGCTGAAGTCGAGAGAGTGAAGCTCGTAGTCGCGCTGAGCGGCTATGTGCAGCAGCACCCGAAGAGTAGTCATCTTCGGGGTGGGAGAGAAGGTCTGAAAGTAGTCAACTCCCTGCCGCTGACTGAAACCACGAGCAACGTACCGCGCCTTGAAGACAGGTGGAGAGCCCGGCGGCCGCTTCACCCTGAAGATCCACATGCCACTGACGATGTTCGCCCCAGGAGGGGGAACCGCGTCAACGTAGGTGCCTGTGGACTTCCAGGAAGCCATCTCTGCATCCATAGCTGCCTGCCACTGAGAGGAGTAGGGACCCTCTACGGCCTCCGCGTAAGAACGCGGAGTCGGGATGTCTAGTGCATCCGGGTCTCCCTCAGGAGCAAGCAGTACAGACGCGAGATGAGGTGAAGCAGCCGCTAGACACTGTAACTCCTCCTGCCTGTCCTCTAGGACGTCCGTGCCAAGAGCACACTCACCCCCGACGGACGGAGGACAGACAGACGCAGACTCAGCAACAAGACTAGCAGCGTAGTCGAGACGACAGCGAGCAGCAAAGTCAACGAGCTCAGCGACTAGAGCAGACGCAGCAGTGGACTCAAAAGAGGGGTCAGTGACGACAGTAGCAAGCAGACGCGTGACAGTAGGACTCGCAGCGCGAAGAGAGTCCGACTCAGGGTCGGCAAGCGCAGGAAGAGAGGACTCAGGAGGAGAAGGCAAAGGGGCACGCAGAGGAGCAGTGGACGGACGCAGAGACATCCGGTGCGTGCCAGGGACAGGAGGAGGACGCTGACGCGAACTGCGACCACTAGTGCGAGCAGCACGAACAGGCGACGCGGGACGAGACGCAGGCTCACGACGCTCAGCAAGACCTCCAGTAGGACCAGTGTAAGGAGAGGGAGCAGGCAGTGGAGAGGAAGGCTCCAGCAGGGACTGCGACTGGACAGGTGGTGGACCCTCTACTGGAGGAGAAAGACCAAGAACCTGCTGCAGGAGCGGAACGAAGTACGGCCGAGGCCGCGCGGCAGCTCCAGACTCAGCAGGGACAGCACCAGCACCCTCAGCTACAGCACCAGCGCCACCCACACCTCCAGCGGCAGGACCAACAGCAGCAGGCTCAGCACGAACGCCCTCAGCAGCTCCAGCTCCAGGAGGACCCGCAGGTCCAGCAGCTCCGGGACCGGCAGCACCCGCACCCTCGACGGTCGAAGAAGCTCCAGCTCCAGCTCCAGCAGCACCTCCAGACTCAGCAGCACGCCTCCAGCGGCGAGCGAACCACTCGCGCAGCTCCTGTGGAGAGAGGGGCTCCCGGCGAGACGCAGCAGCAGGAGAAACCCCAGGCTCAGCAGCTCCAGACGCAGCACCCCCAGGCTCAGCAGCTCCCAGCTCAGCACCCCCAGGCTCAGCAGCTCCCGACCCAGCACCCCCAGACCCAGCACCTCCAGGCACAGCACCCCCCGGCTCAGCACCCCCAGGCTCCGCACTCTCCGCAGTAGCACCCTCAGGCCCAGCACCCCCACCAGTAGCACCCCCAGGCTCAGCACCCCCGCGCACAGTACCCCCAGAGTCAGCACCCCCAGGCTCAGCACCCGCAGCAGCACCAGAGTCACCAGTAACCTCGACCGGGTCAACGGCGTCTACCTGGGACACACCTGAAGGGGCAGGAACCTGAGGGGGGAGGGGGTCTACCGGGGGGGGAACTGGCACAAGGAAGTCAGGTGGAGGGGGGAGGGAAGGAGTGCGGTAGGGGAAGAGGCGGTAGAAGGGGACTGACTCGTCGAACGTGACGTCCTGGGAGGACAGAACACGACGAGAGGAGGGGTGGTAGAACTGCCACCTGGGAGCGTCTGTGGGGAAGCCAAGGAAGACACAGGGAGCAGCACGAGGGGACAGCTTGTCCGCAGACAAGTCGCGGACAAACGCCCGAGATCCCCAGACACGGAACACAGACGCATCGCCAACCTTCCCCGTCCACAGCAAGGCTGGGGACATCGCAGGCCGAGAGACCCGGGGGTGAAGGTTGAGCTGATGCACCGCGTACCTCACCGCAAACGGCCACAGAAAATGGGGGGCAGCCGCATGCATCATGGACGTACGAGCGACATCCATGACCATGCCAATGCGGCGCTCAGCAATCCCATTTTGCTGTGGTGAGTCCGGAAGCGTGAAGGTCTGGCGGATCCCCCGTGCACGACAGTAGTCTCGCAGAAGGCGAGAAGAGAACTCTCCGCCTCTGTCAGAGTGCAGACGCAGAACAGGAAAGTCTGAGCCGAAGCTCTTCCTGAGCTGGAGACGAGCCTCGCGGATCCAGTCGATCAGCACCTCAGTGACTGCACCCGTGCTGCGCAAGGGGAGGACTGTGGTGTAACGCGAGTAGTCGTCAACCACCAACAGGAAGTAGCGCTCGTAACCCTGCCCACGGACGGGGGCTGGGCCCCACACATCCATGTGAAGCGTCTGCAGTGGAGCCTCTGTCGGGGGGAAGTGGGAGGAGTGAGGAGTAGCCCGGAGGCGACCCTCGACACAGGGGACACAGGAAGGTCCTGGCCCGGAGGGGAGAGGAGGGAGAGACTGGGGAAGACCAGAGACAAGGACACGGGAGGCCATGCTCCGAAGACGGGGCAAGGAGGGGTGGCCAAGACGGTGGTGCCACAGGAGAGTCTCGTGAGACAGGAGGCGACAAGAACAGGGGGCAGACTCAGGACCTGACCGGGACGCAGCAGCAAGTACCTGACCCGACGCAGCCACCTGACCAGACGCAGGGACAGGAGGAGACTCAACGGTCAGGGTGTAGAGACTCGACCCCGGCCGACGCGAGAAGGTGGCCTGGTGTCGGCCTGTGCGTGCCTCCGTGCAGTGGGTCACCCGCTGACTCGCAGGAGTGAACTGGTGAACACCCCCATCCTGCAGGTCCGCTCCACTCACCAAGTTCGTGGAGAACGAGGGAAGGTACAGACCCGACAGGGTGCCCGAAGGGGCAGCCGGACACGGGAGGACAGTGGAGAAGTGAGACAGGACAGGACCTCCAGAGGGGTCAGCAAGGGAGACTGCAACCGGCCGGCCGAGCGGCGTAAGGGTAGTGCGGTCTCGAAAGAAGGAGCGAGAAGCTCCGGAGTCAAGTGTGAAAGTGAGGGAGGACGAGGACGACGCAGTACCTGAGAGCGCAGTCTCACCAGTACCTGAGAGCGCAGACGCACTGGCACCTAGAGCAGCAGCCTCACAAGCACCTAGCGCAGCAGTACCAATGCCCGGGTCGGGCCGGAAACAACGGTAACCCTCATTCTCCTCACTATAATCCACAACGTACATAGCAGTAAGGATAGCATCAAAATCAAGATCAAAGATCGCTACACCAGCCCTGAGAAGCTCATCCCAGCGAGGGATCTCACTAGCCCCAGGGAACTGCAGACGCCAGGCGTCCGTCAGGCGGCCAAAGCAGCGCTGGGTGGCGTGGGCACCCCCACACTGCTCACCAGCGCGGTCGCCGGAACGAAGAACGTAGGTGCAGGGACCAGTACCCCCACCCCTCTGACGCCCAGCGTACCACTCACGAAGCTGCTGAGGCGAAGGGATGTCCCGCGAGCGCTGCTGCTGCTGCCGGTGCGAGCGCTGGCCACCACCACCACCGCTACGCTGCTGGGTACCACCCCGACCAGCTCTACCTCCTCCACCACCACTGCCTCCTCCGCTGCCGCCTCCACCGCCTCCACCTCCGCCGCCTCCACCTCCGCCGCTGCCTCCACTACCACCGCTGGCTCCACTACCACCGTCTCCGCCGCTGCTGCCACCACCACCACCACCACCCCCGCCACTAGTCCCGCCGCCACCCCCACTCCCTCCGCCGCCACCGCCGCCACCGCCACCGCCCCCTCCAGCTCCACCCGCGCCCTTGCCCCCCTTGCCCTTGCTGGAGCGACGTCTCCCACTAGGGGCAGACGCCGCGCCGACCGACTCAAGACCAAGCAGGTCGGCAGCAGCAGCAGAGGCAACAGAGGGCAGCAAGGGGGAAGGAGAGCACCCCTCAAAGATGGGGGTGCGAGGGTCACCACGAGAAGCACCTACAGCGACTATGCTCTTCTCCGCTGCAAGGAGGGCCTTCTCGAGGAGGTCGACGGTGAGGGTGGTGGGACAGACTGCGAGAAAGTGGTCCCTGACGACGCGAAGGGAGTCAGGGAGGCGCGCGACTACGTAGTAGAGAGCGATGTACATGGGGGGGGGGTTCTTAGCGCAGAACTCAGCAGGAAGGGCAGCGCGGTAGCGAGTGTCACTAGTGCGGAGGTGCGTAATGAGGTCAGCGACAGTGGGAAAGGCAGAGAGGTCAGGAAAGAGGTAGGGAAGCATGAGACGGCTCAGTGCAGCAGTGGCAGGGGAGGAGTAGCGCGCAACTACAGCGTCGTACAAGGTCTGAGCACTCTTGTACTGACTAAAGTGCGCACGCTCAGAGGTAGGGAGATGGCAACGCACAGCAAGACGTGCAGCAGCATCGCGGGTGGCCCACTTAGAGCGGACAGCGGGATCAGCATCAGCAGCAGGAGCAGGAGAGGCGCCAGAGGTGAGGTCAAAGAGAGAAAGGTCGTCAGCCCTGTCGCACTGTAAGAACAGCTGCAGGTCGTCTAACCAGACCTCAAAATCAATGGCGCGACCCTCAGCGTCAAAAGCTAGGACACTAGGGGTAGCCATGGCGACGACAGCGACGCAGTGCAAGCAGTAGGGAAAGAGCTCGCAGTGGCAGTGGGACTGTGCTCACCAGGCAGGGCAGGTCGAGCAGGTATGCAGAAAGGCGGCTCAGCGACCTGGCGGCTCGGGTGCTGGGCGGCTCGGGCGCAGGGCGGCTCGGCTCCCGGGCGGCTCGGCGGCAGGGCAGCTCCGGGGCAGGGCGGCTCGGCTCCCGGGCGGCTCGGCGACAGGGCGGCTCGGCTCCCGGGCGGCTCGGCTACAGGGCGGCTCGGGTGCAGGGCGGCTCGGCTCCCGGGCGGCTCGGCTGCAGGGCGGCTCGGCTCCCGGTAGTAGGGGGGGGGGGGGGGGGGGGGGGGGCCGCGGTCGAGCAGGCGGCCGGGGCCGCGGTAGTAGCGGGCGGCGAGGCCGTGCGAGCAAGCAGCCGGGGCCGCGACAGGAGCGGGCGGCGGGGCCGCGGTCGAACAGGCGGCTGGGGCCGCGGTCGTAGCAGGCGGCCGGGGCCGCGATCGTAGTGGGCGGCGGCCGCGGCGTAACGGGCGGCAGGGCCGCGTCGAGCAGGCGGCTGGGGGCTGCGTCGAGCAGGCGGCTGGGGGCCGCGACAGGAGCAGGCGGCGGGGCCGCGGTTCGAACAGGCGGCTGGGGCCGCGGTCGTAGCAGGCGGCCGGGGCCGCGGTCGTAGCAGGCGGCGGCCGCGGCGTAGCGGGCGGCAGGGCCGCGTCGAGCAGGCGGCTGGGGGCCGCGTCGAGCAGGCGGCTGGGGGCCGCGACAGGAGCGGGCGGCGGGGCCGCGGTCGAACAGGCGGCTGGGGGGCCGCGGTCGGCGCAGGCGGCCGGGGCCGCGGTCGTAGTAGGCGGCGGCCGCGGCGTAGCGGGCGGCAGGGCCGCGTCGAGCAGGCGGCTGGGGGCCGCGTCGAGCAGGCGGCTGGGGGGCCGCGTCGAGCAGGCGGCCGGGGCCGCGATCGTAGCGGGCGGCTGGGGCCGCGACTTAGCGGGCGGCTGGGCCGCGTGTGGGAGGGAGGCGACACGGAGGGTCGCTCGATAGCGGAAAAAAAAAGGTTGAGCGCGCCTCGGGGCGCGCTTCGGTGGGCCCTAGGCAGAGTTCCACAGGGAACCCGCTCTGATACCATGTGAAAATGAGTAAGCAGGAATGAGAATGACTAAGGGAAGATTGGGTACAAATACAACCCTAGAAACCCTGTACCCCATATGTGCTACCCCACTATAGCCTACAGCAACTATGTCATATAAATCTGACAAACGGAACCGCTCAGATCTCGCATAATACACGGAATCTAGTGGTCTCACTCAAATATAAGGTAGGAAATATATTCATCTAGTGAACGTAAGGGTTTGAAAGGTAACTAACGCACATGTGTAGAGAAAATGGTGCATTGGCCACTCTAGCCGGCATTTCGCACTCATAGTGCAGGTGGGGCCATGGAGAACGGAAACCCTCGTTTCTCAAAAAGTTGAGGGAATCTAACGGTCTCACTTGATGAGAAGGTGGGAAATATATAAATCTAGTCAGCTAAAAAGGTTTGAAATGTATTCAATGCACATGTATAGAGAAAATGGTGCATTGGCCAGGTCGGTCAGTATCGGAACTTAAAATGCAAATGCCAGGGAGAACGGAAGCGCTCAGATCTCGCATAGTACACGGAATCTAGTGGTCTCACTCAAATAGAAGGTAGGAAATAAATTCATCTAGTGAACGTAAGGGTTTGAAAGGTAACTAACGCACATGTGTAGAGAAAATGGTGCATCGGCCAGTCTGGCCGGCATTTCGCACTTATAGTGCAAGTAGGGCCAAGGAGAACGGAAACACTCATTTCTCAAAAAGTAAAGGGAATCTAGCGGTCTCACTCGATCAGAAGGTGGGAAATATATAAATCTAGTGAGCTAATAAGGTTCGGAAGGAATCTAATGCATATGTACATGGAAAGTGGTGCATTGGCCAGGTCGGTCAGTATGGGAACTTAGAGTGCAAATGCCTGGGAGAACGGAACTGCTCAGATCTCGCATAATACACGGAATCTAGTGGTCTCAATCAAATAAAAGGTAGGAAATATATTCATCTAGTGAACGTAAGGGATTGAAAGGTAACTAACGCACATGTGTGGAGAAAATGGTGCATCGGCCAGTCTGGCCGGCATTTCGCACTTATAGCGCAACTAGGGCCAAGGAGAACGGAAACGCTCATTTCTCAAAAAGTAGAGGGAATCTAGCGGTCTCACTCGATCAGAAGGTGGGAAATATATAAATCTAGTGAGCTAAAAAGGTTCGAAAGGAATCTAATACATATGTATATGGAAAATGGTGCATTGGCTAGGTCGGTCAGTATGGGAACTTAGAGTGCAAATGACATGGACGTGGACGTGGACGTGGACATGGACATGGACGTGGACGTGGACATGGACGTGGATGTGGACATGGACGTGGACGTGTCCATGTCCATGTCCACGTCCACGTCCACGTCTATGTCCACGTCCACGTTCACGTCCACGTCCATGTCCATGTCCATGTCCACGTTTACGTCCATGTCCCTGTCTACGTCCACGTCCACGTCCATGTCCACGTCCACGTCCTCGTCCACGTCCAGGTCCACGTCCATGTCTACGTCCACGTCCACGTCCACGTCCATGTCCACGTCCACGTCCATGTCCACGACCACGTCCACGTCCACGACCACGTCCACGTCCACGTCCACGTCCACGTCTAAGTCCATGTCCACGTCCACGTCCATGTCCACGTCCACGTCCATGTCCATGTCCACGTCCACGTCCATGTCCACGTCCACGTCCACGTCCACGTCCACGTCCACGTCCACGTCCACGTCCACGTCCACTCCACGTCCACCTCCACGTCCACGTCCACCTCCACGTCCACGTCCACGTCCACGTCCACGTCCACGTCCACGTCCATGTCCACGTCCAGGTCCACGTTCACGTCCATGTCCACGTCCAAGTTCTCCACGTCCACGTCCACGTCCACGTCCACGTCCACGTCCACGTCTACGTCCACGTCCACGTCCACGTCCACGTCCATGTCCACGTCCATGTCCACGTCCACGTCCACGTCCACGTCCACGTCCATGTCCACGTCCACGTCCACGTCCACGTCCACGTCCACGTCATGTCCACGTCCACGTCCATGTCCACGTCCACGTCCACGTCCACGTCCACGTCCATGTCCACGTCCACGTCCACGTCCACGTCCACGTCCACGTCCATGTCCACGTCCACGTCCACGTCCACGTCCACGTCCATGTCCACGTCCACGTCCACGTCCATGTCCACGTCCACGTCCACGTCCATGTCCACGTCCACGTCCATGTCCACGTCCACGTCCACGTCAACGTCCACGTCCACGTCCACGTCCACTCCACGTCCACGTCCATGTCCACGTCCACGTCCACGTCAACGTCCACGTCCACGTTCACGTCCACTCCACGTCCACATCCATGTCCACGTCCACGTCCACGTCCACGTCCACGTTCACGTCCATGTCCACGTCCAAGTTCTCCACGTCCACGTCCACGTCCACGTCCACGTCCACGTCCACGTCCACGTCCACGTCCACGTCCACGTCCATGTCCACGTCCACGTCCACGTCCACGTCCATGTCCACGTCCACGTCCACGTCCACGTCCACGTCCACGTCCACGTCCACGTCCATGTCCACGTCCATGTCCATGTCCATGTCCACGTCCACGTCCACGACCACGTCCATGTCATTTGCACTCGAAGTTCCCATACTGACCGACCTGGCCAATGCACCATTTTCCATATACATATGCATTAGATTCCTTTCAAACCTTTTTAGCTCACTAGATTTATATATTTCCCACCTTCTGATCGAGTGAGACCGCTAGATTCCCTCTACTTTCTGAGAAATAAGCGTTTCCGTTCTCCTTGGCCCTAGTTGCATTATCACTGCGAAATGCCGGCCAGACTGGCCGACGCACAATTTTCTCTTCACATGTGAGTTAGTTACCTTTCAAACCCTTATGTTCACTAGATGAATATATTTCCTACTTTCTATTTGGGTGAGACCACTTGATTCCGTGTACTATGCGAGATCTGAGCTCTTCCGTTCTCCCTGGCATTTGCATTTTAAGTTCCGATACTGACCGACCTGGCCAATGCACCATTTTCTCTATACATGTGCGTTGAATACATTTCAAACCTTTTTAGCTGACTAGATTTATATATTTCCCACCTTCTGATTGAGTGAGACGGTTAGATTCCCTCTACTTTTTGAGAAACGAGCGTTTCCGTTCTCCCTGGCCCCACCTGCACTAAAGTGCGAAATGCCGGCCAGACTGGCCGATGCACCATTTTCTCTACACATGTGCGTTAGTTACCTTTCAAACCCTTACGTTCACTAGATGAATATATTTCCTACCTTATATTTGATTGAGACCAGTAGATTCCGTGTATTATGCGAGATCTGAGCAGTTCCGTTCTCCCAGGCATTTGCACTCTAAGTTCCCATACTGACCGACCTGGCCAATGCACCACTTTCCATATACATATGCATTAGATTCCTTCCGAACCTTATTAGCTCACTAGATTTATATATTTCCCACCTTCTGATCGAGTGAGACCGCTAGATTCCCTTTACTTTTTTAGAAATGAGCGTTTCCGTTCTCCTTGGCCCTACTTGCACTATAAGTGCGAAATGCCGGCCAGACTGGCCGATGCACCATTTTCTCTACACATGTGCGTTAGTTACCTTTCAAACCCTTACGTTCACTAGATGAATTTATTTCCTACCTTCTATTTGAGTGAGACCACTAGATTCCGTGTACTATGCGAGATCTGAGCGCTTCCGTTCTCCCTGGCATTTGCACTCTAAGTTCCCGTACTGACCGACCTGGCCAATGCACCATTTTCCATATACATATGCATTAGATTCCTTTCAAACCTTATTAGCTCACTAGATTTTTATATTTCCCACCTTCTGATCGAGTGAGACCACTAGATTCCCTCTTCTTTTTGAGAAATGAGCGTTTCCGTTCTCCTTGGCCCTAGTTGCACTATAAGTGCGAAATGCCGGCCAGACTGGCCGATGCACAATTTTCTCTACACATGTGCGTTAGTTACCTTTCAAACCCTTACGTTCACTAGATGAATATATTTCCTACTTTCTATTTGAGTGAGACCACTTGATTCCGTGTACTATGCGAGATCTGAGCGCTTCCGTTCTCCCTGGCATTTGCATTTTAAGTTCCGATACTGACCGACCTGGCCAATGCACCATTTTCTCTATACATGTGCGTTGAATACATTTCAAACCTTTTTAGCTGACTAGATTTATATATTTCCCACCTTCTGATCGAGTGAGACCGTTAGATTCCCTCTACTTTTTGAGAAACGAGCGTTTCCGTTCTACCTGGCCCAACCTGCACTATGAGTGCGAAATGCCGGCCAGACTGGCCGATGCACCATTTTCTCTACACATGTGCGTTAGTTACCTTTCAACCCTTACGTTCACTAGATGAATATATTTCCTACCTTATATTTGAGTGAGACCACTAGATTCCGTGTATTATGCGAGATCTGAGCGGTACCGTTCTCCCAGGCATTTGCACTCTAAGTTCCCATACTGACCGACCTGGCCAATGCACCACTTTCTATATACATATGCATTAGATTCCTTCTGAACCTTATTAGCTCACTAGAGATATATATTTCCCACCTTTTGATCGAGTGAGACCGCTAGATTCGCTTTACTTTTTGAGAAATTAGCGTTTCCGTTCTCCTTGGCCCTACTTGCACTATAAGTGCGAAATGCCGGCCAGTCTGGCCGATGCACCATTTTCTCTACACATGTGCGTTAGTTACCTTTCGAACCCTTACGTTCACTAGATGAATTTATTTCCTACCTTCTATTTGAGTGAGACCACTAGATTCCGTGTACTATGCGAGATCTGAGCGCTTCCGTTCTCCCTAGCATTTGCACTCTAAGTTCCCATACTGACCGACCTGGCTAAGAACAAGGGCCTAGCGTGTGCAAAATTGCAAAAACAAGGGCCTAACGTGTGCAAAATTGCAAGAACAAGGGCCTAGCGAGTGCAAAATAGCAAGAGCAAGGGCCTAGCATGTGCAAAATTGCAAGAACAAGGGCCTAGCGAGTGCAAAATAGGAAGAGCAAGGGCCTAGCGTGCGCAAAAAATCAAGAACAAGGGCATAGCGTTCGCAAAATAGCAAGAGCAAGGGCCTAGCGTGTGCGAAAAAAAAAGAACAAGGGCATAGCTTGTGCAAAATAGCAAGAGCACGGGCCTTGCGTGTGCAAAATAAAAAGAACAAGGGCATAGCGTGTGCAAAATACCAAGAAAAAGGGCCTAGCGTGTGCAAATTAAAAAGACCAAGGGCCTAGCGTGTGCAAAATAAAAACAACAAGGGTCTAGCATGTGCAAAATAGCAAGAGCAAGGGTCTAGCGTGTGCAAAATAAAAAGAACAAGGGCATAGCGTGTGCAAAATAGCAAGAACAAGGGCCTAGCGTGTGCAAAATAAAAAGAACAAGGGCCTAGCGTGTGCAAAATAAAAGGAACAAGGGCTTAGCGTGTGCAAAATAAAAAGAACAAGGGTCTACCATGTGCAAAATAGCAAGAGCAAGGGCCTAGCGTGTGCAAAATAAAAGAACAAGGGCATAGCGTGTGCAAAATAGCAAGAACAAGGGCCTAGCGTGTGCAAAATAAAAAGAACAAGGGCCTAGCGTGTGCAAAATAAAAAGAACAAGGGCCTAGCGTGTGCAAAATAAAAAGAACAAGGGCCTAGCGTGTGCAAAAAAAAAAGAACAAGGGCATAGCGTGTGCAAAATAGCAAGAACAAGGGCCTAGCGTGTGCAAAATAAAAAGAACAAGGGCCTAGCGTGTGCAAAATAAAAAGAACAAGGGCCTAGCGTGTGCAAAATAAAAAGAACAAGGGCCTAGCGTGTGGAAAATTGCAAGAACAAGGGACTAGCGAGTGCAAAATAGCAAGAGCAAGGGCCTAGCATGTTCAAAAAATCAAGAACAAGGGCCTAGCGTTCACGAAATAGCAAGAGCAAGGGCCTAGCGTGTGCAAAATAAAAAGAACAAGGGTCTAGCATGTGCAAAATTGCAAGAACAAGGGCCTAGCGTTCGCGAAATAGCAAGAACAAGGGCCTAGCATGTGCAAAATAAAAAGAACAAGGGTCTAGCATGTGCAAAATTGCAAGAAGAAGGGCCTAGCGTGTGCAAAATAAAAAGAACAAGGGCATAGCCTGTGCAAAATAGCAAGAACAAGGGCCTAGCGTGTGCAAAATAAAAAGAACAAGGGCCTAGCGTGTGCAAAATAAAAAGAGCGAGGGCCTAGCGTGTGCAAAATTGAAAAAACAAGGGCCTAACGTGTGCAAAATTGCAAGAACAAGGGCCTAGCAAGTGCAAAATAGTAAGAGCAAGGGCCTAGCGTGTGCAAAATTGCAAGAACGAGGGCCTAGCGTGTGCAAATTAAAAAGAACAAGGGCCTAGCGTGTGCAAAATCAAAACAACAAGGGTCTAGCATGTGCAAAATAGCAAGAGCAAGGGCCTAGCCTGTGCAAAATAAAAAGAACAAGGGCATAGCGTGTGCAAAATAGCAAGAACAAGGGCCTAGCGTGTGCAAAATAAAAAGAACAAGGGCCTAGCGTGTGCAAAATAAAAAGAACAAGGGCCTAGCGTGTGCGAAATTGCAAGAACAAGGGCCTAACGTGTGCAAAATTGCAAGAACAAGGGCCTAGCGAGTGCAAAATAGCAAGAGCAAGGGCGTAGTGTGTGCAAAAAATCAAGAACAAGGGCCTAGCGTTCGCGAAATAGCAAGAACAAGGGCCTTGCGTGTGCAAAATAAAAAGAACAAGGGTCTAGCATGTGCAAAATTGCAAGAACAAGGGCCTAGCGTGTGCAAAATAAAAAGAACAAGGGCATAGCGTGTGCAAAATAAAAAGAACAAGGGCATAGCGTGTGCAAAATAAAAACAACAAGGGCCTAGCGTGTGCAAAATAAAAAGAACAAGGGCCTAGCGTGAGCAAAATTGCAAGAACAAGGGCCTAGCGTGTGCCAAATTGCAAGAACAAGGGCCTAGCGAGTGCAAAATAGCAAGAGCAAGGGCCTAGCGTGTGCAAAAAATCAAGAACAAGGGCCTAGCGTTCGCGAAATAGCAAGAACAAGGGCCTAGCGTGTGCAAAATAAAAAGAACAATGGTCTAGCATGTGCAAAATTGCAAGAACAAGGTCCTAGCGTGTGCAAAATAAAAAGAACAAGGGCATAGGGTGTGCAAAATAGCAAGAACAAGGGCCTAGCGTGTGCAAAATAAAAAGAACAAGGGCCTAGCGTGTGCAAAATAAAAAGAACAAGGGCCTAGCGTTTGCAAAATTGCAAGATAAAGGGCCTAGCATGTGCAAAATTGCAAGAACAAGGGCTTAGCGAGTGCAAAATAGCAAGAGCAAGGGCCTAGCGTGTGCACAAAATCAAGAACAAGGGCCTAGCGTTCGCGAAATAGCAAGATTAAGCGCCTAGCGTGTGCAAAATAACAAGAACAAGGGTCTAGCATGTGCAAAATTGCAAGAACAGAGGCCTAGCGTGTGCAAATTAAAAAGTACAATGGCATAGAGTGTGCAAAATAGCAAGAACAAGGGCCTAGCGAGTGCAAAATAGGAAGAGCAAGGGCCTAGCGTGCGCAAAAAATCAAGAACAAGGGCATAGCGTTCGCGAAATAGCAAGAACAAGGGCCTAACGTGTGCAAAATTGCAA